GAAACAGGTTCTGCAATCCCTAAATAAATGTTTAAGACGTTTTCCCATTTTAATTGATCGTAACTATCGAGCTTTAGAATGATTAGTTAAAACAAAAATAGACATGCATCTATGCGAGTCATAATTCGTGAATTTAATCAGAGTTATGAACTCAAATATCTAAAAGTACTATCCGACATTATTTGCATAATTTGGGACTAAAGATGGTATCAAAACCATTATTGTTAAAGAGAAATATAATTGGAAGATACTGATAACTGAATGTTATTTGGAGGATCTAAATTTAACTTGTTTCATGGTGATTGACGTAGACGTGTTTGGCGCCAACCTGCAGAAAAATCTACCTTATTTACATTCAAAAATGCAGGGTAATGGTGGTTTGAGATTGATTCATTGATTCTCGCAAATCATTTTTACAGTTTGCACGATCAAGAAGCTCAAACAACTTATAATATGCTTTAAGATCATGCTACTACACAACAAACTGGTATTGTTTGGAATGGCGCAAAAAGCATTGATTGTAGTCCTATTGAGATGTTCTTGATCAACGTATACATAATAGAAGACCTCTGCCTACAAGCTTGGAACAATTAAAACGTGCTCTTAGAGATAAATGGCAAAATATCTCAAAAGGGGCATGTCAAATCTTGTAGATAGCATGGATCATTGAATAAAGGCACACATTAAAGCTAAAGGTTATTATATTAAGCACTAATAAATAAAAGCGTTGGCGCAGTACTTATTCCAGTGTAATAACTTACACATAATGTAATTAAATAGTTAGAAAAAAGACTATACGATTACTCGATAGTACTTCATAAACATGCCATTGAGACTACGTTTTTGTGATTTAAAACTATCGATTAACTTATTAAGTTAATGTTTAATAATCTCATTAGTAAATATTTTCCGTACAAGATAAAACTAAATCATGAATTCGAAGAGTTTCTATGTATTATCATTGCAGCTTTATGATCGCACCAATGTTGTTACATATATTACAGTAGTTTTCATTTCCTTGCGCATAAGGGAGAGTCGGGCATTGTGGCGCACCTAAGAATGCTAATAGTAAAAGTCCTCAGGAAAATAAAATTTATTGAAATAAACTAATATTCGACTTAATATCTATCACCCAGAAATTGCCCGAATAGAAAATTATATTTACAGGTTTTCTAGTGACAGGATTCATAATAAATTGTAAATAACCAAAATGATTCAGGATAAACGAGTTTACTACATCGCTACTAAAATTCTCGAAGGTTTATTCTTCTTTTATTGATTTTTCGTATGAGTGACTCATTGTCAACATTAAAAAAGGATCATTAGATTCAAAAACAGTTACATATATGCAACCATAATTAAAATATTTAATAAAGCATTTGAAAAGCGAAATTCATAGCAAGGCAATTACATTCTTTTCTAAATAACATATAGAAATATTAATTTAATATAATACTATACTAACGTTAGATTGCAAAATAATATTGTATTTTCATGGGGAATTAACCTTAGCTAACTCACATAGCTGATACACAGATTACCATACAATTGAGGATAACTACCTCTTTATCAATTCATTCTTTATCCCCTCTTTCGTCAGCAATCCAACTTCTAACACATAAATGCTCTCTTACTACCTCTGAAGGGAGGAGACTACGTGATATTAATAAATCAACCTCATCCGCCGAAAATGCATACCCACAAGCGATACTAGATGCTTGAATAGTGTGATAATCACGTGCTATCCTGGAAAGAACCGGGAACTCGGTTTGATAGGTTTGCCACCAAGTTAACGGATTAATATTTTGATCTGAAAGTTTCATTCCGAGATAAGAATCCAATTCTTTCATAGCCATTTCTTTAGACGTAGTTGCTAATTGTGGATTACATAGATTTAAAAAATATTGACGTATGGCTTGAATCTCATTTTCATCACTGTTGACAAAGGTTTGTGGATTAATATATTGGTCTAAAATCCCTTGCACAGCATCACGAGCTCTTTCGCCTCTTTCAGGATGATCAAATGTCCAAAGTTTAGCACGAGGATCGAGGACCGCAGAAATCATAGAAGAGGTATCCATAGTTGACCAATATTCTTCGATTTTTTGGTAAATCAAAGAAGCAGCAAGGCTTTGAGTGGAATCATTTTGTCCAATGTAATTAGCAAGAAATTTTTGAAGGCCTGAAAATATGAAACGTATGTCACCATGTCCTGGATAAGAAGTTTCAGAAAGGATCTTGGTGGCAGTTTCGACTGGAGCCAAGATGGTTAGAATTTCCTTTATAATAATTGTTTAGTTAATTTCATAAGCCTACATAAAATAATATTATTAATATATATTTTCCTTACTCGCAATTTTTCTTGATCAGCAGTATCCAAATATCTCTCTTTAATTGAATGATGATTATCGGCAAGTAAAATAATTGCTGAATCCATTTTCTGTAAATTGGATAACATATAATAGGTACTTTTCCATTTATTTATTATGTCTATCTCTGGATCCACATACGGAACACCTTTTCTTTCACATAATACACGTAATTCATTTTGTAATTTGTCATCACTAAAAGCCAGTTTAGTCATCAACAAGCGCGCTTTTTCAACAGAAGCATCAACAACATCTAAAACATGTTTAGCAGCAACATTAAGTACACGAGCAGCACATTTGTAATGAGGAAAACCCGTCTTTTTAAGTTGTTTTTGGTATTCTTCGAAATATTTATTACTGATTATTTCTGATTCATCATCGGTAGTAAGAGCGAGAGGTTGTTTGTTTATTTTAAGCTCAGTTAAGATGTTTGGAATAATATAAGTTAATTCAGTTGTAAATGGAATTACGTCTAATAGGTAATGATGAAGTTTCCAATTAGAGTCTACATAATGAATCATAATACCCATATAATCTTCACAATCAGAAGAAGACCAAGTTTCAGCGCTAAGGGAGAATTTTCCAGGAATTTGGACGATTTCAGTAATAATTTTAGCGCGACGATTTTTAAATTCATTGAAAATCCAATCTTTTATTGCTTGGCCTGTAGGCATAGTATAACTAGAATTAAGACAGCGAATAAGCATTTTAAAGCTCTCCTCCTCAACCACTGTAAAAGGTTGTAAATCCATCACGATCCAAGTGATTAACTTTTCATCACGCCTTTCTTTTTCACCATTATTAGAAGCAGCAGTTCGACGAGTAGTCTGACGACCTCTTGCAGATATTGTAGTTTGATGAGTAGAAAGGTGACTTTGCAAAGATG